TCAAGATAGCCATTTCAGATATCTCGCACGATAAATCCCAATGATTTAAAAAATTCAACGTTTGATGCGGTGAGTTTTTTCTTTTTACAGAGCGATCGAATATTCTTGATCATCTCTTCATTAAAAATTGTGTCTCTTGTTTGTTTCACCTGTTCGTTCAACACAAGCATCTCATGTTATCGTTGTCGTTTTCATACATGCAGTCTAACGGTAATCTCCTCTCCACGAAATCAAGCAATCGACTGTCTTGATCCACAACGCGAATCGTCAAATCCGTAATGCTTCGTACGATGATTGGCAGGTAAATGATCTGCGACCTTTCCAATATTTTATATCTTGGCGAAAACTCATGTATCGTGCATACTCTTGTCGTTGCTGTACCGCAGTTACGTTGCATCGATGCGAATGATATTTACGTTCATGATATTTATCGTTTCATCCGATTCGTGCCACTGTTGCTGCTCCAATATATGACTCGATGAAAATCCCAACAGCGATCCAATGTTATCAGGTTTGGTGAAATTTATTCGATAAGTGTATTTGATCTCGTTCTTCATCATATTGTTGTTGTATGAATCATCAGCGGGTACTCGTCATCATCATTTTTGAAATGTATCTTCTTTCTCGCAACAACATCATCAAGATTTAAAATTGCACGTCTCAGATACTTGTCAATGTCACACACTTCGTATGATCCTTCGGGAATGACAGTTTTTTTATTGTCTTTGTCAAACTAAAATTTATTATTTGATGAATTTACATTAGGTATCATAGTAAATTTCAAAGTCTGTCAGGCCGAGCTCGTAATCATTATTCAAATCTATGGTTGGAAAGTAACTTGCCACAAGGCTACTCTTGCCTGTCAACGTCAGTGACATGTCTTGAATGAATAATGAATTTAAATAGTGCAATGTCAATCTTTAAATTGGGTATCAATCGTTCGTAAAAATTGTAAACACAGTTGCTCACAATTGCTTTAATCGTAACGTTGATAAGGCATGCAATTGTACACGATTTGTGTCACATCTAGATATTGCATCAATTCCCTCGGTGGTCGAAGATTACCAAAGCTATCGAAATATATAGCACGATTTTCTCTCTTCGCATATGCCACTCAATGAGTACCAGATCTTTCAGCATTATTCAAATTCATGATACCGCTCTCATTTCTATATATTCCTCCTATTGATAATGCAGTACGCATGGAAACACCTCTAAAATATGGAATGCGTATATGTTTCGCCAGTTGTTACAGTTGTATATTGGTAGTTACATCTTTGGGCATTTTTACTGTTTCTTCGATGTTTTTTTCTTTTTGAGATTCCTTTTCCACGCCTGTAAGGAGCCAGATAAAGTCCATGACCTTCCATAGCGCGATTATAGCGTTTTAATTCTTCCAGCTGACATTTTGCGGCTTTGTTATCATTCACAGCTTTTGCGATTCCCGCTGCTCCATCAACCAATGAAGCGAGAGCTCCCAGTAATGGTAGGATTGGCAAGATACTGTCGCGTTTTGCTCCGGAAATATTCGTTTGTTCGGTGTCCTTTTCACATTTGTTGACTTCTTTTTTATCTTTTTCTGCTTTCAAACCCATACCTATTTTCGTCTTAGCTTTCATAGCAGCCCAAACAACTCTCCTCGCCCAAGCAGCTCTCTCTCCGGGAATCGAATCTCTTGCAGTAATGCGTTTTCGTGCTTTTGCAGCGTGTATTGTTGGCAATGTGTCATTTAGCGAGATCGTTGTTATAGGCGTCGAATAGGCCATATCATGCTCGCGACACGCCGCATCCAATTAATGCCTCGATCACCTCTAGCCAATCGCTTTTCTAGTTGCGTTCCTGAACCGCAAAACTGATATCCTGGGATATGCAATTCAAAAGGAAGTGCATTTATCATGTGATTTAATAAGCCACAACCCATACGCTTCGCCACCCAGACATTCGCCACAATTCTTTATCAGTGATGCCGGTCCGTCGATATGAGTTCATCATCATGAGAAGGTAAATTATAGTGTTTTGACATCGACGATATTGTTGTTTCCGAATCAGCTTTTATATGCTCGAGTAACTTGTTCCACAATTGATCGATGTAATTATAAAATTCTCGTAACAGAACAACTTTCGGTATATATTTTTAATGTTCGGCGGTTAAATTGTGTATGTCATAGCTATTTGATGAGAAACATTTTTTACGACTGAGCTGTTTTGCTCTACGCGCCTCTATAAATAGGCCAACCCTCCTCGACATCATCTGTTTATATTTTTTTATCATTGTGGAGAAAAAATGCGGCTCATGCGGCAGTCGCAAACTATTAAAGTGGCGAATTTAGACGACAAGATACAGTTAATGTCTGAGAAGAGGATACGCAAGCATGGAAATATGCTACAGATTTCTATACGCGGTATCATTTATGGTCCATCAATGTGGTAAGACAAACGTGTTGCTAAGCTTGCTAGAAAGTCCGCATAGTGTACATTTCGAAAACGTGTACTTGAAATTGCTGCAACAACCGAAATATTAATAATTGGAGAATTTACTGACGCCGATAAAAGGAATTGGTTATTTCACATTCTCCCATAATAACGACGTCGTTCCACCGAATGAGGCGCTTCAGAATTCTATTTTTATCTTTGATGATGTGGCATGCGACAAGCAAGACGTTATAAGAGAATACTTTGCAATGGGCCGGCACGCCGATGTCGATTGCTTCTATCTCTGTCAAACATATGCAAAAATACCGAAGCATCTTATATGTGACAACGCGAATCTGTTAATTCTATTCAAACAGGATGGTACCAACCTGAAACATGTATTTAACGATCACGAAACACTGACATGTCGTATTCTGTGAATTGTGTTGTACTTGTTGGCAGTAAAAGTATGGATTCCTAGTAATAGACAAGGACAGTGCATTTATAGACGATATAGAAAAGGATTTAATGATTTTGCGATATTGTGACATGGTTAGTCGTTGTCGATACATCAAGGGTAAGTCGATACATCTAGATAACGTTTTTTCAAGATGAACAACAGCAACATGGATCATGAGAAGATTGTGAAGCAGATTGCGAAAACGAATGATTCGATTCGCAAAAAATACTGTACTTTAAAAACTAGTAGGAAGACAAAAATAGAGGAAGACATAGCATTAAGTCCCAAATAAAAACGGAGGGTGTGCGTCACGGCAGGGTTCGACCACGAACCAGTCGTGAAAATTCGTAATTATTTTGCGAAAAATATCACTTCAGCCAGGAATCGAACCTGGGAGAAACATTTTAAACTCATCATCGAACCTCTGAAACAGATCGTCGAACGCACCGAGGAGTCTCAGCCGATTAAGAAAGAAGCTAATGTTGCGAAAGATATCAGTATTAAGAAAGAAGCCAATGCTGTAAAGAATATCATTAAGAAAAAACGTGAATATAGCGATAATGATGATGATGATGCATACTGACTGGATGGCAGAAATTAATGTCATAGCCAAAAAAACAATGTACGAAACAATTGAACAACATGTCAGGTTTACTAACGCTCAGTTCTATAGAATCATCAATAGAATTATCAATAGTATCACCGATAAAACCGTCGAAAGAACTATCGAAAATACTATTATTCATATCGAAGGAAAAAGTTCTTGAAATAAAAGACAGTGAATCGTCGCTCGAAACTTCCGTCAGACAGACTCTGCAAACGCAACAAGGTCGAGAGGCTACTTAGTCAGTTGGAACCATTGGGGCAAAAGTACAAAGTACTCTCTTCGATGATAACGGAAAAAATGAAATTGATCGCATATACGGTATCTATCTCGACAAAAATAGTACGATGTACGATGTTTAGCGACAAAGATGACTCCATAATCATAGACAATGTGAGATATAATGATACACCAGTCTTATACGAATTAATTTTTAAGAGATTTCCCGATAATGCAGTTTTTACCGAGAATGACTATTAAACATATAAGAATATACTGTTAACAATATACTGTTAACAACGAATGCTCATAGATGTGACCACAGCGTCCATAATCCTATCATGGATAATAGGGAATACAAGTACATCATCGGTCCGCTTGTATCTGTATATAAAGCTGGTGCTAAAAAAAAAGATGCAGGCGTGGGCAATATACCATTCAGCGTAAGATTAACTGATAACATGATCGATTACATTCATTGAGACGATCCCAACGAACTAGTGGATCGCCTTCGATTCCTCGATGCTTCTCGTCGAGCGGACAACGCTCATAATAACGAGATTCTATCGATAATCGAGGAACTTCGTGAAGCTTCTTATTATAAATTAAATCGCACGATATGAGTTATTTAGTCAACATGGAAATGCCGATCAACAAGAATATCGCTCGAAAAAAGTGGGGCGGAACCATACTACCAATGAATTAGTCAGAAATTTTGTGCGTGATAACGCTCTTTGCATGATTGCCATCGACTTTGATGCAAAGTCATGCAAGACGTGTAGCTCTGCCAGTAGATAATGACGATGTTGGCAACAAACAATACAGCAAAGCAGCAAAGCATGCAAATTTTGAAAGACCGACAGGATGAAATCGAGAAGAAGATTGCGGAACTCCAAAATAATGTGACTACTATTGCAGGCTAAAATGAGTTTCAACAAATGATGATTACTCTTCTCGTTGAGAGTACGTACAAGTAAATAAATACGTATAATACACTTTGCGTCATTTGCGTATCGTACACTATAATCAAACATGTCTGAGAAGAAGAAAAGCTCCGAGAAGCGACGGTTGGTAGAGGAATTGCATGCTCCGGCGAGAAGAAATTTTCCACGAAGACACGTGATCGTTTACAGATGACTTGTAGCAGGCGGATGCAGTTGAGATGCGTCCTTATACACGATTCAACAAAGGTTACCACTTTCTCATCGTCATTGACATGCAAGTATGCGTGGACCATACCATTCAAAACCAAGAGTGGAGATGAAATGGCTCGAGCAATCGCAAAGATAATTCGAATGATGGAAGATGTCCGAAAAATTTGCAAACATGCGAAAAGAATTTTATAACGCAAATGTGCAGAAATTCTTGAAGAAATATAACATTAATCATTATTCTACCTATTCCATGAAGGTGTCGGTGATCGAACGATTTTATGCGTACATTGAAGAACGACACGGAAGCAATTTATGCTCAACGGAAACTATAAATGGATCGATTTGTTGCCGCGTCTCGTGTCAGAGTACAACGCACGAAAACATCGAACTATCAATATGCGACCCATTTACTCCTGCGATCGCTGACAAGTTCTTAACCACTGTATATAGTCGCGTAAATATTGCTGCTCCTGCGCGATTCAAAGTGGGCGACTCGATACGCGTTAGTAAATTCAAGACAACTTTTGAGAAAGATTACACATCAAATTGGACTACGGAGATATTTAAAATCATCAAAGTGCCGAAAACTAATCCCGTGACGTATTTACTGGAAAATTATAAGGGAAAACCTGTTGCCGGAGGATTTTACGAGTACGAGTTGCATCGCCACTAATTCTAACGCCACTAACGTATATCTAACGCCACTAACGTATATCCTAACGTATATCTTAGTAGAAAAAGTACTGCAAAAAGGGGGATAAGATTTATGTAAAATGGTTGGGATTTGACAATTCACACAATTCTTGGATACACGAGGATAATGCATTATAAAAGAAATTAAAAAATACATTTAGTATAACATATTACAAAAATATTTTATTACAAAATTTATACTAATGTATTATAAAAATAATTTATTATAACATATCTTATTACGAAATATTTTATTACAAAAATTTATACTTTAAATTACTATTAAAAATATGATTAAAAAAATATATAAAATAAGTTTTTTATTTATAATAGTATTTTATGATGTCCCCATGGCAGCGTGTCGATAGAATTGTGTACAATATGTCGTTTATCATCGTACGGACTTAGAGCAATTTTCGTTTCAGATACAATGTACATTTCGTGAAATTTCGATCTTATGCAAGACTGCTGTCGTGTCATTTCAATTTTATCTCGCAGGCATCGCATGTAATCATCGACCTGGCTACGATATTACTTTTAATATATTTTTATAATTACCTTTAATTTTTTACTGTCTGTATCTTTCTTACTGTCGACGCGCAAGACGTCTTTGCTCTAAGTCCAACGAAATCGGTCATGATTGCACCATTGTTTTCATCTTTCATTAAATCTGATATTTTTTATTGGAATACCATACGCATTATCGACCGCGTAATTGCTTGTATCGAATCTATTGATATCTCATTTCATAATTTCGTATACATCATCGCATTCAATGTGATAGATAAAACTATCAGTGTCAGTGTACACTTTACATTTCTCAAGCGTCATGTATTCGTAATGAAATTCGTATAAACATGTCTTGGATATATCGAGGATGCACACCTACATAGATTGGTTTGTTGAATATCACCTTTGCACATTTCTATCGCTACAGATTCTCCGAAAAAACGCTTCGACTGTGGAAGTTTGATTTCGCGATCATTGCCTCAGCGTTAAATCTTCCTTCATTTAATGATAAGCCGCACATCGACATGATTGCGCACATTCTCCATGATTTTGCTGAAAACTGCGTTATTCATTAATTTGTATAAATTTTTCTTCAAAATCATTCTTGGTTCGAGGTTTGAAATTTGTATTGAGCTGAATATAATCACGAAGCCATGGATTGTGCAAACTGTAATACGCGATGAATCTTTGTTACACTTTGTTGACGAGACACATCTTTGTTGACGAGTATATTGCTACAGGTTGCGATAATGTATGACATGACATGAACATTTCTTATCATATAACGTTGCGAGGATCTTAGTCTGTCGTTTATCGGGCGGTTTATCGCGCATCGAACAATAGGTTAGTATGTGCATCGTGAAGATTTGTGGATACTTCAAGTTCACCTCGAAAATGTAATCTGTCGTAGAATCTAGCGCGATATTCGTAATGTTAAAACTTACATCATCGACCCATCAAATATGTGTAAGGCATTGACACATTGCCCAACCATACAAGTTGTTTACATCAAAGTACATCAGGTACGATGATCGTTTCGAGGGATCGTACGATTGCATGTATTTGTTGTTGGCCTGCGCGTATCTGTTGGAACATTGACTAAGACCTCCACGTATACCGTGGATTCGATGAACATGACCATGTCGGTGAGAAGTCTATAATTCGCGAAAGTTCTCAAAAATATCAGCCAACAATAAGACATCAGTTTTAAGATACAGGTCGCTAGTCATCGAGCGCATAGAGAATCGCTGCCACATGTTGACAGCGTGCACATAATCGCTTTCGGACACGGTGTTCGCCCATTAACAAACTGTAGAATGATTCTCGCGACGGTAACTCGATTTCCTCCAACTTTTCGACGCAATCAGTGTACTTATATGGAAAGATGCCTTTTTGTGTCAATAAATTGAAATTTCCTGTAGATAAATTACAATATTCGCGCTGCATTATTCGTAGCTTATCTTTGTTAAGAAAAGATACCAATTTGTCAAGACTGCTACTGAGAAATTTATATGAGTCAATAAATCGCAATTTTATCGATCATCTTCAATGCTTTTAATATTTTTTGTAAAAGCAATGTATTTTTCTTTCGTTATTGGAAGCAGGTAGCTGTAGCTATTTCTTTAATGATAAAATGTGCATCATAGCCGGATAAATTATGGAAAACTATGGGAATGCAATGTAAATCTTTGTAATTTAAATTACAATTTAAATGCGCGGGACCTTTGAATCGACACTGTCAAATGACAATGAATAATCGTGTATTCGCGTGTCGCTTAGCGCAAACGGTTTTTCGCATATGTGACAATGCGTGGCGCTATTAAACTTTTTTCAGTCGTCTTGCATGAAATCTGCCATGAGTACGTTAGACAAGATAGATTTTACATTATATGCTAAACTAATCTCTTCGGTGAAACCATGCAATGCAATCCTTATCGCGACAAAATCGATACATTGATAACGATTCGTCGTACAAACAGTGTATGTAATATCCTATACTAAACATATGATGATGCTGATATATGTAATTCGTTCTTTCTTGGAGCCTCCTTCTCCTCCTGCTCTTCCTTCTCATCTTCCTCCTTCTCCTCCTCCTCCTCCTTCGCTTCCTTCTTCTCTAAGATGCATTCCACGTCGGCATAAACAATAAACCGCATTCGTTCCTTCCTATAATAATTTTTGAAATTTGTCATCGTTGCTCGATAACCTGATAGCTCGTTAATATCTCAACAATCTGCAATGTGAGCCTTCAACTTTTCATTTGAACTGAAGTAATGCAAACATCTGCAAAAAAAAAATTAATTATAATTTCATTTAATTTATTATTTTTATAAAAAAAGATTTTCATTATTTTGAAAATGTATATATATCGATCGCAAAAGAATTTCATTATTTTGAAAATGTATACATATCGATCGCAAATGTATACATATCGATCGCAAAAGAATTTTTTATACTCTTTTTTGTTGAGTTGAGAGCTCATGAGACGAGACAGATTTTTTATTCATACGAAATGCCGCTCGTTGTCATCGTCCTGCAAGTATAACAAATTTATGTGTTTGTCCATTTTTCGGTCCGTGAGCCGTATCGGAAGAATCAAGAGTTTTTTCTCCTTCTCGATACAATATATTGTCGCACTCGCCGCGGGTTCACTCGCATCACTCTCACACAAGGAAAGGAAAAGACGGTTAGAAAAGAAACACTTTATTATGCACTAAGCACGGGAGCGATAACAAGAGCTTTTCACAGTTTAATAAGAATTCGACACAGCTCAAACTCGCGCGCCGCACCGACGACTCTCTCACCAAAAACAACGCTTGACAACCGCTTGACGACCGCGTTGGCAAGGAACGATTTCAGAAGAAGGTTAGAAATGTATGAGAGTAGCGTCGAGCGGAACATCGCTCGGTCGTAACAATACGTTAACTGAGATATCGTTAAGGTTCTCAAACTTTTTATTTGGTTTAAAATCAACTTAATGTCTTTAAGATTCAACACCGTTGAGTATGGAGGATACTCGATCTGTATTTGTTTTTGCGAGATGTAGAGCGGCCACTGATCACACGAAACATGCATTGTTCATAGATTGCACGTTAACCGCACATAAACCTTAATTTCTCATGGTAGTTCGATGTTGCATCCCACATGCATGGGATTATGCTTGTTGACATTTACAATCAAATTTAATATACGCGACAAAACCCACTCGCATTCCTGAAATTCCTCAAGCGATGCCAAGATACTTCAATGACGTGTAATTGATACTCTTGTAAATCAAAGCACTGATATAGTTCACAGTTTCTCGTAGCGATACTTTTATTGGCGCGTTTTTCACCCGCGACAAATTCACTGTTAAATATAGCATTTATCTTGATATTCACATGCTTGTGCATGACACTTTGTACACGCTCGAGTACAATTTCTCATGCATCCTCGAGAAACTGATGAGGTTCAATGTGCTTGGAATTGATTACCGCACCTGTCAGTATACGACTTTCGAAAGCCATATCTATCCCACACCAGTCCTTGAAGTCCTGCACTATATCCGGGGCCTGTATGCACGAATCTTCCGTGCACCGAATCTTTCAACTTTCGAATCGCGCGATACGTGCGATTACCGAGTGTCTCAAATCGATTGATAATCGCGGATGTTTAATTCGACTATGTCCATTCAGCGATTCAATAAACTCATCACATCGTTGTTCCCACGTGTTAAATTCTTCCGACATATTCAATCGAATGGATTGCTCTATCAAATCACATTCCGTTTGCTCCATATTATGTTCTCTTTTACAGTCACTAAATATTCTGAGAAATATTGTTTTTATATTCTTGGTATATGTCTTTCACAGAAGTTCACTTTGTGCAAATAGGACACATATTACATGGTATTATTTGAAATAATGGGTGTCGGCATTCCGAACAATATTTACCACTGATGAATGCATATTGACAAGTGATTTTCGAACGGCGCAAAGACTTGGAAATATTTTACTAATTTGTACGACGCACTGTGAGCAATACTTTTTACTAACGAGGATTTCTTCAGTGTAATAAAAATATATTGCACACATTTTTTTCGAATCATTCAGAGCATTAACTTCAGCCTGCTTTAAGTCTCGGTATATTTTTTCAATCTCTTCATCTGTCATATTCTATATATGTCACTTTCATAATACGAATCATTCGTAAGAACGTGACCAAAATCTTCTTTAACTATCATTTCATCCTCTTACTGCACTATATCTTCTAGTTCTACTTTTCATGAGGGACAATGTATATTTTCATGTATCTCTCGGAACTTCCAACTTTACTAGTGATAGTGGTGTATCTCAGTCTTCTCATTTTATATACTGCTATGAGGGCTACTACATGTTTTAAGGTATGTTTTGAAAAAATGTGTATTTGATAATGGGTCTCATCTCAGCCGTTGTAAAAATGAATAGATTCCATGTTTTGAAAGATAACATT